AAAATATAAATATAAAACTTGCAAACTTTTTTGTTGTTAAAAGTTTGGCATCAAACATAAACTGTTAGATTCGAATATAATTAATATGATTTATTTTTACAACCATTTTTATTATAGAAAATGTGTATATCTGTATTAATAAGTATATTATGTAAACCGAATACCTCGACTACTAATAGGTTATAAACCATTATTAATTAAATGTTAATTATTGGATTTTAAAAAACAATAAGAAAATATAAATGATGTGATTGTTTTGAAATTGATAATTGATATCTGATGTGCCTGTTTAATTTATAAATAAATCATTTTTTTGGTTATCAACTACAATAACTTTTAGATGTATGAAATTTTATAAAACTTGTAACAACTCGAATGTTTTAAAAAGAAAGAAAAAATGCAACCAACAGTCAAGAAATTACTTTTATTTTGTTATTTAATTTTATATATTACAACAACACCTGGAATTCAATTATGTTACGTCAAACTATTTAATCGGGCTTACATGATACCGAGAATTTACTTTTCTGAACTGTCTCATCTTTTCTTTTTGGTTTCATGTTATTGGTAATTCAGTTAGTGTTTATTTTCAGATAATGCCTTTTTGTAACGATATATTTAATACAATGTTTTTAATATATTTTTGACAAATATTTCATAATATTACTTGTAAAAGAGGATCAATGTCATTGTTTGCATCCACAATAGTCATTAAGATTATAAGTTGTAAAGAATCACATATCAATTACAAGTGTATATTATTAAAAAAAATACATCGACAGTTTTTAGTCTACAATATTATAAAGCAAATCTATACTCTAAAATACCACATACAAATAATACAGCTACGACTATTGTGTTAATAACGGGTTATTAATAACAAATTTTTGTTGCATGTTAGACGAAATTTTAATTATTAAATTGATTACAAAATAATAATTTAATAAGTTATTATATATATTTTATTAAATAAAACTATAATAATTTTATAATAAATTATTATTTAATTAAACTATAAAAATATAAAATAATTAATTATAACAATTATTGTTACAAACTTATAGTTAAGTTATTATTAATTTTAATAATAAATAAAAATAAAATCCCATAATGTTATTTTTAAATAGTAATTCATTTTATAACACAATGAAAACACAGTAATAATATAATTGAAATGTTCTTAAGGTGTGTTTGGTTAAAAACGGTTTTCTTCACGTCAATAATTAATAATTAAAATTGTTAATAAAAAATATTATAATTTGTTATAAAATGAATATAATTACAGGTTAAATAAATAATATAATACATGTCAAGAATGTTCATATAAACTAAAGAATAAACAAAATTTAATTGAAATAATGGTAACTATAATAATTAAATGATTAGTTCAATTACTATTTTATTATACTATTTCTAATTTATTTAACATTATTTTATTTGAATTATAATATTATTTAATTATATCATAATGATTCAATTTATTATACTTTTAGTTTTTTTGTTAATTTTATTTAAAAATTTATGTTCTGAATGAATTTAAATTATTAATTTATAGATTAATAATAATTTATTATTAGTTTAATTTTTTTTAGGTTTATTTGTGACTTTATTTTACTATTAATATTTAGTTGTTATTAATTTCTTATATAGTTTTTATAAATGTATATATTTGTTTTTATAAAATGTTATTTAATTGTTTTTGACAAAATGTATTATTTCATAATATATTATTTATTACATAATATGATACATAAATTCATTGTCATAAATTAAACATTAGTTAAGATATCGTTAATTTTATTATATTGTTATAATAAATTTGTATAATTTATTATATCATGTATATACTATAACAATTAACCAGTTGTTAATAGTTTTAAAACTAATCGTATTTACTATCAAACTATTTTAATATTCTAAGGATGAGGTGAGTTTTATTTTAATTTGCCAAAAAATATTTTAGTGCAAAAAAACAAATTTTTCCGAGGCATGGTCATTTACTTTAATTGAAAAGTTTTATTGTTTTATTTTTTGAACTGTTTATTTTATTTTGAACTGTTTTGATAAATAACCTCAATTGTTTAGAAGTTTGTCGTTTTATGTTATTGATAACTTTTTTAATTGTTGAATAAATAAACACTTATTATTAGTTAAAATGTTGCATCATTTGATGCAATGGTGTCCTTCATCACATCGTTTGTTTATTCTTATATTGTCGTTTATCTTGTGTTTATCTGAAAGATAGAATTTTACTCACATTTAGTTACAAAATAAACCACTAACCAAAAAAACGAACCTAGAAAATCGGGAAAGATTTGCCTGAATTTGGGTGATTTCCCGATTTTTTGTTTAATAATTGAAACTGTATTGATTTTTAAGGTTTTAAACTGTGTACCATTTTGTTTCAACAAACAGGAAAATAAAAAATAAACTAAATAGAAAATAGTAAATAATGGGAAATCAGGACAAAGGGTTTTTATATTTTTTGGAAACGGTGCAGAGTTTTGGAATACAATTTAGATTATTTTTTTTGTAAAAATCAACTGAAAGAATCATCTTTCAAAAAATCCATAAATAGCATTTTCGAATAAAATCACGTGTTTTAAAATTTATTTTTTTGATCTTAGGCAAAGAAATTAAAGAAATTTCATTTAAGATATTTACCATCCTCATGAATTTCTTAAACAACAATTTTATTTTTTTTTAAATTGGTTTTTAATTAATAAATAAATTAATGAATTGATGAATTAATTTACATTTTTAAAGGCGACCTTCGAGATTGTCACGACCCTAGTAATCCTAAGATCTTTTGGGTCGAATTAATTATTTTTTTGTAAATCGGCATTTTACTTTCCTCTTTACCAAATAACAAAAAAAATATTTTTTAAAATTTCACAATTTTTTTCGAATTTACACATTGTTGAATTGGTTAAATAAAATCATCATTAATTTTAACAGATTGTGTTATCAATTTTCATAACAAAGTTATCTACGCAATCAAACGTTCAAATATACAAAAAATCAAATATACAACAGTGTTGATACTATAATAATTCTCAAATTAAATTTCCACTAAAATTATAGTTGTTTATTACATTGAATTTATTGTTTGTAAATAATAACTTTGGTGAAATAATTATGATATACATTAAAACAAAAATAAACGATTATCATCAAGTTCATTGTGTAACTACTTCGATGAATGCAATTTTCATTCAACAACTTTTGTTGATAATTACATGTAAAAGAGTTGTTGTATACGATTATTCTTTCTTAACAATCATTTTTTGTTATTCATATAAAAATACATAATTAAACATATATACCTTAGTAACACCACAACATTTATTATTATATATAATAGAAACATGTATTGATTATTAATTTCAATAATTTAATAACAACAGTTTGTATATTAGGTTTCACTGTTAATCACAACATTTTCATTTTTATAAAATGTCAAAAATAAAACGTGATAAATTTTTAGTGTGTAAACGTGTAACATCAAACCTGAACTTAAAATAATTACACCAAAATTACTAGAATAGCACATTTTAAAACATTTTTGTTTTTACTTGTTGCTCTCTTACATATATACATAAAATATAAAAATAAATATTATATCATCAAAAAGCAAAAGCAGACGATACAAAAATAAAAAAAATAATTTCAGTTCTTTGTTGTGGTACATTAACTTAGTCGTTTTAACAAAAATGAATACACTTTTAAAAATATTTTAAATATTTATTATATACATACTTTTCTATAATAACAGTTATTTCTCTTAATCATACATAAAAGTGCATTAGAACATAAATGTTTGTCTTTTTTGGATTTATAATACGATGTGCATATTATCTAAGTAATACACAAACATTTAATAACAATTCAATTGCTTTCAAATTGAATATTAATAAAATAGAATAATATTTTTAATTAAATTTATAAAATATATTTAATCGTATCTAAGTGACAACACCAATGTAATTAAAAAACAAATTGGTTTATTATCAACATTTATAATTTGTTCACATGAATATTTGATTATTTATTATAAACAAAATAAATGTAATTGTCAGTTATTTTAACCAGTAAATATATTTTATTTAAACGTAACATGTACAAATGGGTTGTGAACAACAAGTAGTTAAAAATATTTATTTACATTCTTTTCATATTATAATATTTATGTATTTGTTTAGTTTGAAATTAAATGTTTACACACTCAAAAAAATTACATGTTTTATAATTTTCCCATTTTTACAATGAGAGTATAGAGTATAAAAGTGAATCATTTTATTTTAATTATCAAAATACAATCATTAAAAGTAACTGTATTATCATGTTATTATTTTACTATTCAAAACAGTTGTGATGTCATTTTCATAATGTGCTATTTATGTGTGTAATCAAATATAATAAATTAAAAAGATAATATATATTCAATAACGTTATTTACATGTTATTATCGACAATGAGTTATTGGAAAATAATCGTTTTTAATGTAGTTACACAATTAAAATGGTTACACCCGTTCTAAATATAAAAGATATATTCATAAATCAAAAATATGTCAAAAACAATTATTATCTTTGGTTTATGTTTACATCAAAAATTACATTTCAACATGATTGTTAATTATTTATTTATCATTCCATGTCTTGTCAAATAGGTAACTGTATGTGTGAATATCAAAAACTACATTTTTAAATTGAAATACAATTGTTAAAATATGAATATTTTAAAAGAAATACAATTATTTTTTTGTTTACCAAATAATTTTTTTGTAATTTCTTTTTTTAACATAAAAAATAATTAATTAATTATTTTTTTATATTTATAATTATTTGACACACATTTCACCCCTTTTTTACAAGTTGTTAATTATTTTACGTATATTTTTGATTTTAAATAATTATTGTCAGCCCATGCATTTTGATGAATCTTCAAGGTCGCCTTAAGTTATAAACAAATAAATATTTGTAAATATTTTAAAATGATTAATTGAACATATTTTCAAGTTTTATTCTTGCTGTTTCAATTGTTATCCTTAATTCTCTGTTATGTTTCCAACAATTTGATATTAATTCAAATTGCTGATCGTTGATTGAATCGCGTTTTTGAAGACGATTTCCAGAATTTACAAACTCTGCTTTTTTCCATGGATATTTGAATTCAGAAATTGGATACGCCTCTTTCCACCTAATACCCTCATACATAGTTATCGCAAATGAATAAATGTCTGCACTTTTCTTGTACTTATCTTGTTTCAAAATTTCAGGCGCCATGTAAATTGGTGTGCCAACACCTTTTGTGAATGTCATGTTAGTCATTAACATATTGACATTTCTCGATGATCCAAAGTCCGTCAATTTTGCATTCACATTTTCATTCACATCCAGTGATAATACTAACAAATTGTCTGGTTTTATGTCTCTGTGTAAGATTCCATTATTATGAAGGTATTCTATACCTTTTGAAGCATCAAGCAAAAATTTGATTCCCAACTTCATGTCGACTTCATCACTCTTCTTGTGTTTGATCAAGTCTTGGAGTGATCCAAATTGCGCGAATTCGGTGACCATACACAATTTGTTTGGTATAAACACTGCACCATAAAAGTGGATAATATAATCACATTGGAACTTGTCCAACATGTCAACTTCCCTGTTAAATTCTTCAAGACCATTTTCATTAAAATCCAATTGTTTCATCTTTTTGATTGCAACACAAACGCCTCTGTATTGCCCTTTGTAGACAATACCAAAACTGCCTTCGCCCAGTTTCTTGTCTTTGATAATTTCTCTGTAATTCAATTTGGTTGTTTGTTCCGTCTCTATTTCCATTTCAATTTTTGCATTTTCAATGACACCAGTTGCTATATTTAACGAAGTGATCGCTACATGTTCTTTTGTGGCACAAGTGCACAGCGGCTTGATGAATATTTCAAACTCACAGGCATATCCAGGTTTCATTGTCACAAGTGGTGGCACACTTCGTATTTCATAATAATCACACCCTTCCATCACACTGAACTGCACTTTCAAGTTGCTTTTCGACACATTCTCAATACATATCAAATCTCTTGTCTCGATGTCGATCTTAAGTGGGTCATTGTTATCCAAATCAAATTTAGTGTTGTCTTGTTTGACACTAAATTAGCACTTAATTCGACCATCTCAATGTTTGACCGACTCATTTTGAAGTTGCAAATGTTCTGATCTTTCTTTTTTTGTTTTCTTTTTTGTATCATTGATATCACAATTAGTATTATTGCAACAATAAACACTATGATCACAACAGTTACTGATAATGGCACACCAACAACCAACCCATAATTTGTCTCTTTGACGCAATAATCACCAACATCACTTGGTTTGTGAAATCCATCACATTTTGTGCACTTTGAATTGTTTGCAGACAAACAAAACTCAACATTTTTGTAATTCACACACTGCGAGTCAACCAACACATAATCCTTTCCAACACAATTTTTACAGTTTTGATAGTTGTTACATGAGATGCAGTTTTCAGAACAAGTTTTGCAAATGTTATTATCCAAGTAATATCCATTCTCGCATTTCAGACACCCAATTGGCGTTTTAGTTTCGTAATTAGTCAAGTTGTCATATGATACACACAATTTACTTTCACTGCCAGTAAGTTTGAAATATTCATTTTGACAACTCAAACAAGAAACACCATCCACACAAGTACCACACGACTCATCACAGGCAATGCAGTCTGTTTTTTGTTTGTAATGGTGGTCTTTGCAAATTGCACATCCACCACCCGTTGGCAGTGTCAATTCACATTTTGTAAACAAGTCGCCAAGTGGTTCACATGTAAAGGTTGATGACAAGTAATACTGTGGATCGCATGTTAAGCAATAAGTCGTATTATAACAATTATCACAGTGATTCGAACACATTTCACATTCACTGTTAATGTTATAATAACCAGAATTGCATCTCTCACACCCTTTGTTGTTTCGGGTAAAACACGAAGTTTCGACACCTTTCATCATTTGTTTTGTGTTAGTAACATTGTTTTCATGGTCGTCATTGTCGTCAAAATTCTCTGAACAATTTCCATTCTTTAATTTAAAAGAATCCAAACAGTCAACACATTTGAATTGTGAA